AAGAAAAAAGCCAGAAGTGGCGCTGTGGCTCAAGTGGTAGAGCACTAGCCTTGAGCTGAAGAGCTGAGGGACAGAGCCCAGGCCCAGAGTTCAGGCCCCACAACTGGACCCAAAAAAACAAAACAAACAAACAAACAAAAAGAAATGGCAAAATCCACGAGTAGAGAGAAATGAATTTGCTAAAGCACTGAGAAAGAGAGTAACAAAAAATATTTGTGACTTCCAGTCAGCCTGTGGTAGACAGAATTTTCTAAAGATGATATAATAGTAGCTCTTCTTCCCATCAATAGATGGTCATTTCTTCACTTCCTTAAATCTGGCTTTTTTTTTTACTGCCTTAAGCAATAGATTATTATGTAAGTGATTCTTTCCCAAAGTTCTTAAATCCCTTGACAGCTTACGTCATTCTGTAAAACAAACTTACAGGGATCCTTTATGTTCCTTCCATCCAGCAAAACAACTCTGGGAACACTAGTCCCTACAAAGAGTCTACAGGTAATGTTCCCGGATACTATTCCAGTTAAGCATTCAATGGATGGTTCCCCATGAGTGAGTCTTATTGGGCATTTAGCCCAGTTAAGCTTTCAGGTTACTATGGTATCAGCTGTAATGATATTAGATAGTCAAAGAGAGAATAACCTATCTGAGCCTTTTCAATTCAGAACACTATTACAGATAATGATAAATAGTTGTTAGTAATATCCAAAACACAGGCTTTAGTTTCTTTCCAAGTAAAAATGTTATTGTTGCCTGTGGCATCTACAAAACATCCCTGTCTGCTTTGGATAAATCCCATGCCCCACTTATATATTGCTTCAATAATTTGGAGCTTTTCCATCTACATAACAGTCCTAGAGAATACTAAACAAGCAAGGCAACAAGACCATGAAACCAAGGCATTTCACATTATGAGAAAACAGGTGTAGAGATGGGGAATTAAACAGTATGAATAATTTGGCAGAAACATAACTAGAAATACAGTTGGAAATCAAGAATTAAATAATTTCAGGTCCTAAATTACTGTTGTGATGCTTAAGCTTAATAGGATTAAAAAGTACCAAGGAGATTAGTCACACACACACACACACACACACACACACACACACACACACACACACACACACACACACACACACACACACATACAGGTTCCAGATACAATTAACTAAGGAGGATGATTAGCCTTGAATGTGGGCTGCAAAATTCCTAGGCTGACTTCCAGCCTAGGAAAAAGAGAAAGCATGCTAGCTCAGGCATTCTCCCCTCTCTGCTTTCTAGCTACCATGAGGTGCACAGATTCTTCCCACAACCATAAAGCTGTTTCTTGATTCAAGCCCAAAGTAAAGGAGTAATAAAATCTTTCAAACTATAAGCTCAAATAAAATGTTGATCCTTTTAACTTGTGTTCCTTGTTTTAAGTTCTTTCTCTAAGGTACTTGTAAAAGAAACACAATAATACATAGCTTCTAGCATTTTGCAAATGAAGATGAACTTTAAAATTTGAAATTCTTAGAACTTATGAATGGTTTCAATGGAGTTCAAGGACATAGCATCTACATAGAAATGAGTATCATTCTTTAGTGGCAGTAAACTGTCTGAGAAGGAAATTATGAAAGCAATCCACAAAAATAAACCCCTAAAATTAGTTTAAACATGGAAGCAAAAGACATTTGCAATGAAAATTAGAAGGTACCAATGAAATAAATTGAAACTGTACAAATGTATACAATAGACATATACAATGTTCATGAATTATAAGAATTAATATTGTGAAAATGTCAATAATACCTAAAGATTAGTCAACAATCTCAATCAGAATAAAATGCCATTCTTTACAGAAATAAAATCTAAAATTCATATGGAAGCAAAAATGGTTATGAAGAAACAAATCATTCTTGAACAAAAAGGAATAAAGCAAGAAACATAACAATCCTTGTTTTTAAGACATATTATAGTGCCATAGTAATGAGTACAACAAATTACTACCATAAAAACAGATAAGTAGTTCAGTAGAATACAATAATGATAGAGCAGTGGAATAGAATAGCACTCTAAGAAATAAATCCACACATCTACAGTGAAAGAATTCTCAACAAAGACACCAAAAATATCCCATTGAAGGAGGACAGCCTATACTAAATGATGCTAGGGAAACTCGAGATGGCCATATGCAGATTAAAATTTGACTCATCTCTCATTATGCACAAAATTCAATGTAAGTAGAACAAATA